ACCAAACTATGATCCCCGTCTTCTTATGTAAGTAAAAGATTTATTTATTTCTATAAATCATTGGATGCTGAAAACAGTTCATAGATACAATCAGCATTAGTTTTGACCGCGTTTTTATTGAGAATTTGTTTGTCAGGCTAAAAATGCATAAATACATTAAACTTATAGTAACAGCACATACCCATAGACGAACTATGCTCATGTTTTCCTGGTAAAAGAAATTAAAGAGATCGCTAAAAGAATCAAACAGAAGACTGGAAGATCAAGATGGATTGAACTTACTCCCATACCATTATTCCAATACAGTTTATGCTTTAAACCTCACCATCCAACAATTGAATGTAAAAATTGTTCATTTTTTTAAAGTTATGCTCACATTAGAAAAAATTAATAATTAATAATAATATCATTAATAATAATAATGATTAATGGTAAGATAATCAAGCAGTATCGAGCACTTTCCAATAAATTGTCTGATATTGTGTATTTCTACTACTACTCTCCACAAACAAAAGTATGACAGAGTTCTGTCAAATATTTTGGCATGTTGCAATCCAGGTAGAATTTTGAATTGGTTAGGTCCAACAATGAAAGAACAAGGAAATATCATGACATGAAAGAGTTTCAATGTAACAACATGAAAATACTGCTTTAGTACCTACGTAAATGTTTTTTAACTATACTCGAGTCACATTGTACGACGTACTTATTAGCTGAATAGCCCTGTAGGCCCAGTTTAAACAATTTTATTTCCCGCTAATGATTGATTGATTAACTGTTCAATTAACTTTAAGAACTTCAAAATTTACTTCAGATTCAGTGAGCAAAAAAAGCTTTCACTATCACTCATCCATTAGTACATTAAATTTTTATTTAAGTATTTATGCTTTTTTTCTTTGCTTTTTTCACTTTTTCATCTTTCCATCTTCATAGTTGAACATCAATTTATTCATATTCCAGAAAAGAATATCTGTTTAGAATATGGGAATTTCAAATGTTTGCATTTTGTTTCCCTTGCCAAATTTATCAACTATTCAGTGAATAAATGTTGCCCTGAAAGATAATTCTCATTCTCTCTGTGGTTCTCTTATGTTTATGTCAATAACACACACACAGGCAATTTGCTTTGTTAAACTAATTGATAGCTACGTACGATAATGACGATTAACCAGAAAATTCATGATAACCATTGAATAAACTGATAATGATGCTGTCAATTGTGTCTGTCAGCATTAGCATTTTATAATCAAATGTAACACATTCATCTGATTGGTAAAACTCGATCATTTTAATTAAAGGCGGAGAAGATGTTCGAGATTGAAAGAACCAAAAATCGGTTAAAATCTCGAAAAATATTTACATTGTAATACTTTTTAATGATGGCAAACTGTTCAATAAAGAAAAGAGTTGAGAAAATATTTTCCCAAAATAGTTACTTTCTTTCCTTTGCTCAACACGAATCACTTATTCAACCGAAATGGATTATTATTCTGATCATCATTACCAGAAAACCAACAGATAATTTGCAATGCTCAAAGCCAATGTACAATAATGGATAGCCAAAAGTAAAGCCAAGTTGATCTCGTCTGGTCATTACTGTTGCACAGCTGGACTTGGATGCATCCCTTGACCAATCGCCTTATTTTTCATTGCAAAACTGAAACTCTTTTTGTCTTCATTTTTGTCCCATTTGGTATGAACAGTGAAGGCAACAATTCATCAAAGCTATAATTATTGTTATAAATGATTCGCCAGCATTTTCATTTTTTGATGTTGATAAATTGAATGAAAGCTAAAGTTATTTGACCAAGGAAATGGGATGAAGTTGTTGATAGCAACATTGATCAGGTTTGCCTCTTGTTCTGGTTGAAACACGAGTTGAGTTCATGCCATGATATATAACCATGAATGGTGACTACATTTTTCAAATGACACTTCGATTTCATCTTATTTTCATTTTTTCGTCTTTTCTTGTTCTTTTGCCCTTTTCTTGCCAATTGTTTCATTTAACGGTTGATTGAACTTTTTTTTCTGATCATTCATTTTATTCATTCCATTTCATGTTCTGTTATCAATTTTGCCTCTAAATGGCAAGTCAGTTGCGATATTATTTTTCATCTTCTGTGTCATGTTAACGAATCACAATTTGCTCATACAATATGTCCAATAATTAACTGGTAACGGAAAAACAAAAGTTTCATTCAAATGTCAAAGCAAATCATTCGATAGAGAAGATTCTTATTCCAATGTGTTGAGGGTGAGTAAAGAGGCAAAAACTAATAACTGTATTGGAACAACTTGGCAACGAAAAAAAAGGAGAAACGAAAATTCTTCAAGAGTAATGTTCTTGCCATTATCATGATGAATTCATTGGAATCACTGTTGACTGTACAAACACCAAATGACCTCATATAACAGTTATTACTTGCTATTGTAAACCTTTTTCTTTGCTAATATTTTTCACTCCCAGTCATTCCATCAACTCTCGACTATTAATTGCCAATAAAGTTTTGCATTTTCCAAGCATTTCTCTTGTGAACAACCGAATCATCAGTTGAAACTAGACAATGAAATTTTCGACTTTCGAGTTTAAATAACCTGAACAACTTGAAATGTTGAAACAAATTGAATTTAAATTCAATTGGAAATATTGTTCATCTATATTTGTTTATCTTTTGTTCATCATAATAGTTACTTTCCTGAGTTATCATTGATTCTTGAAACTCTTTCAACTCTTATTTCCCTTCTCATTTAAAGTAAATTCTTGAACTACTCTGAGAATATTCAGGTTTTTTCTTCTTCTTCTTCTTCTAATGTTACTTTTGTTGCTCTCATTGCACTAATAATATTACAATTTTAAGGTTAACAGTAACAATATGAAATTTACTGTGAAGAAGGAAATAAGATGGAACAAGATGAAGAGACAAAAGAGATATTTTTTATATATAAAATTCCCTTTCATGATCTCATCTAACAACTTGTTTTTTTTACGTTGAGAGCTATTATTATGAGAAGGACGAACCTGTAAGCGAAATATAAACACTTTTCATTTGGCAATGTAAAAACATGTTACAGTGAGAAAAGCAGTTTGCTTTGTTTTTTCATCTTCAATGCAAACCTCAATAACAAAGTTAACTAACTTTGCTTTTGTAATGAAAATGTGATTACATTAGTTTGAGCCAGAAAAGTGATTATTATTTTTACACTCTCAACATTTGGATTCATGTTTCACATGTAAATAGCATTAAAGATAATCAATAAGTTGGTTTCATGAGCAAATATAGAGAGATTCATGTTCAACTCGACAAACAAATTTACCATTTCCATTTGACGATTCAATGGTTTTCCAACAATTTTCAAATTCTTGTCATGAAAATTAAATCCAAAAAGTCATTACAAACAGAAAATGAAAATGCGATAATCTCTTGGATTAACAATAAAAAAAAGTAAATTCATTTTTGTTCCAACTTGGAGCAGCATACAACTGGGAGAAATTGAAACGAATCAATCAATAAGAACAAATTTTCAATCGAATTTTGTTGTGGCAAAAAATCTAGAACTTCATTTTCGAATGAAATTTTACATTGAATTATCGAGAGAAAAAAACACAAAAATTCAATTCGATTTCAGATGAAAAATTTTCAAAGAGTTTCCTTGTTCGAGATTCAAGATTATGATCAATTTAGATTCAACAAAATGAACAAAAATTTTGTTCCAATTCAATCAGGAACTGAGTAGATTCATCAGAATGTAACAATCAATAACAAATAATTTTCAATTCGACTTGAACAATTTGGTTCTTGGAAAACTTTAGAACTTCATTTTCGAAAAAGTTGCAATTTTTTTTTCTATTCCTGATGAAAATTTCGAGTTTGAGAATGATTAATTTGGATTAAATATTTAATAGTTTTACATGAAATTGAGAATTTTTCATTATCTATTAAATATCAGACTGGATTCATGGTGAGACTTTTTTGGTTCGTTAATGAGCAGCTTTTACGATAATTTTGTTCAGAAGTTTTTGTTTCTTTTGCAAACACTTTTTTACCAGCCGTTCATCAATCAACACTCTAATGGTAATTAATCTTGATCCCATTAACGTGAGCAAACTTGCAACATTCTGAGCACTAATTTCCATGCTCATTATTTGTGTGAGTTTCAATATTGCTAAATCTATTTCTGCCTTCCCTGTTCACCCAACGTTATCTTAATTGCTCAGTTTGGGATTCAATTTGTTGCAGTTATTAGCTAACCTTAATGGTTAACATCAAGAGCTTTGAGTTGAAAAAAAGTTTCACTTTTTTTTGTTAACTCTTTAAACTGTTATCATGAGAGCAACGTTTGTTAAGGAATCGCTTTTTCCTCTCTCTCAGTGCTTCTCTGTTTGCTCAATAATATTGAAACGACAGGGACTGTTGTTGACTTTGACTGTTGAACTTGAAGGTTCAACAATCAAATCGAGTGTTTTCTTGTATCATGTAACTGTCCAAAGTTTAATTATGCAAAGTGTTTCATCGACAGAACAGCAATCTATTTTGCTCAAATTGTACACTTCATTTGGTGATTATTTTTCTTGATTAACTTTTAATTATGTTTTCATTCTAATTCAATTTTCATTAACAAAATTCATTTTCATCAATGAAATTCCTTCCCTGCCTGGTAAAAAAGTTCAACCCAATATGCAAAGGAAATGAAATTAAATTTTGAATGAAACAACATTTTCAGTTCGTTAAAAAACACTTTTGATTCAATCTCATTTTGCATAAATTAATACTAATTATTTTGAAAGCATTCAACTTGGAGTTTCTTAAAAGATCAAATATTGAAATCTTTTGAAAAGACCTGAGCTTGTGAACATTGAGACTATTATGATTTAAATTTCATTTGATTCTTGAATTTAAATGTCGAATTGAGATTTTTGTCAAAACTGAATTTCGAATTAAGTTTTTGAACTATTTTGATATTTGGTTGGGAGGAAAAGTTGGACTGTAAAGGTTTACCTGTGTTGGAGTGGATTGGTTATTGCTTGATAGTGAAGCCAGGTTAAAGCTAAAAGGTGCAAAACTGAGGCGAAAAATGAAGAGAGACGTAAAACTTCGAGGATGAGAACCCAACAGGTATGAACTCGAATGTCGAAAACAACTCCAAGGTAAATGTTTAAGATTCCGATAAAGGTAAAGAAAGAGGCGATTCCATCGGTTGTGGCCAAGTTGAGTGATAAGATGAGCATTGGACTGGTCCGTAGACGTCTAGTGTTGCGTACAAAAACAAGTAAACCATTGAGTAAAATGCTGATTAAACCGGCAACCAAAAGGCAAGGGCAAAATATCTTGTACGAAACGGGTGAAGGTTGAGATGTATTGTTGCCAATAAACTGGACAAGTTTAATCAAAGTTTTGTCACAAGTTTCCATTACAAAGGAAAATGAAACTTTTTTTTCTCCAAAAATTAAACTGAGAACTCACAGAGAAAAGTCAACCTTTTTTTTGTCACAGGTCAACGAGAGTAAAGTGGAAAATTTTTCAACATTTTAACCAAACTATTCCAAAGGTAACTTGCATTTTCACGATAATCATCATGGTTGGTGGTTGATGAGATGATGGCAAGATTGCAGTGAAACATTATGAAAAGAGATAATTTAAAAGTGTGACATTTAAATGAAAAATATCAAGATGATGATGATGATGATGGTGATGATGATGATGATGGTGATGATGATGGACGATAATGACGCGACAAAACAAATTATAAAAGTTAAGGCGACGAAATTGAGGAAAAAAATTCTTCTCTTGAAAACTCTGATTTCAATATTCTTTCGAAGTGATTAGGTTGATGTTAATGGAGATGAATGATGAACAAATGAATTTGCAAATAATTTTCACTTGAAACCCAATCTTAATCCAATTACTTGCAGTTCAAATCATTTGGAAGGAAAAAGGTAGAAACTTTATTCTTTTGCAAAAGAGAAAAACTTTTCACTGAAAAATTTTCTTTGTTGAGGTTTAAAAATTTTCTACCCTTGCATCTGGTTCCATTTATCAGTTTGGTGCTCAAGTTTGCCTGGCTTTACCTGGAATAGAGTTGCAAGTAAATTGTGGATAAAACTAGATTGACTGGCTGATCAAAGATGAGCTTGCAATGGAGTGAAAGTTTGATGTGATAAAAGAGTTGAAAGTGAGCTGAACGATAAAGAGAGTCTAATTTGTCTCACTGAACTTTTCTTCTTCCTGATCATGGCTAGTTCTTTTCTTTTTTGCATCGAAATGAAGAGAGCATGAAATATAAATACAAGTAATAATCGATCCTAAAGGCATCCTGGGCCTGTGTTTAAAGTGAATTCTGGATAAAATTCAATAAATCAAAGTTAACAACATTGGCAACAATAAACTTTAGTCTTCTATTAAAGTGTAAAGTCTTGAGATGAAGAAAACATTTTTTCCTGTTTTTTTCTTGTTTTTGTTTTCCCTTCAAGTGACTCGAGTTGAGGTGAAAATCAAAAACTAATATGGATCAACTTGACTTCGTGTTCATTTCACCTTTTCTCATTTCTCGACTTTCGTTAAACTGTTTCATCGGCAGCTTCTTGTTGCATCTAAATGCGATAGCTTCTCGATCTATTTGTGAATCTTAAGCAAAACTTTGACTTCTTTTATCAACCTTTTCCTTTTGCGTCAAAAATGGTAATCAAGTTATCTTGCATCATATAAATGTTCAAAAACTTGAATCGTAATTGAATATAAATAAATTATATCAAACTTGCTGTTCTTTTTTAGCTTGTTGAGCATTTGAAACTTTATCCACATTTCCATTTCAACCTTTAAAAAGTAAAAATTTTTCAATTAAATTAGCATTTTTTTTCTATTCGTAAAAATCAAATTGCTAAATAATCTTGATGATTAAAAACTTTGTTGTTGGTAGTAATCAAATCATCTTCTTAAGTCGTTACAATGAACAGTAATAATGAATTGTAAAGATTATTTTCCCATTAACAAAAGGACTTTTGTTTCATTTTAACTAAAGGGTGAAGGTCAGGATTGAAATTATTTTTTCCAGATTCAAAAAGGAATTTAAATGTTCTGTTGATTGCAAAATGTTGAGCTCATGATTGCACACAGCGGCACCTAACTATTTCTCAACTTGCCTCTTCAGCTCTTCAATATAGTCTAATTGTTTACCAAGAGCCAATCTTTCAAGTTTGAAAATATAAAAAAGTCAAGTGCTAGGTCGTGCGAGTAAAGTTCAACAAGTGTAGCGAGAAATTAATCCTAAAAAAGCTTTTATTGGCAATCGTGTTTGAATAGTTTTGACCAATGATCGCACCAATAGTTGAAATGAGCCAAATGCTGAATCAATATGGATTAATGAATCAATAAGAACTTGCAAAGCTCAAGGAATTCTGTGACATTTTAATGAATCTCTTGCTTTCACTCTAGCAGTATTAGGTACAATGATGGTCTAATGATTGGTTTAATGAATCGTGCTTGGGAATTGAGTGCAAAAAGTTTACAATTTCACTGATTTATTGAATTTATTGGAAATTCTGTCAGTTTTTCTCGTTTAAATGATAGCAAATTTTACAGGCATCAAGGTTGACAATATTTAATTATTAATGTTACAATTATTATATACAAATTCAAAAATTGATATCAGCAAATTAAACCATTGAATGTAATTTACATTGTTCATTGTTCTTGTGCGTAGAGAGAGAAAAGGCTTGAAAGTAAAATTTGGAACCATTCTTGGATCACAGAGCAGCAGAATCTGGTCAAAATGAATACATAAATAAAGATGAATATTGAGATTGATTAAGTGAGCCAGATTGGTACTCATGAGGTTGTAATCATTTCTTCCTCATTGCTTCTTTGTATGCGATTTGTAAACGAGTAGAGAGTATTGTTGACTTCAGTCACATTAGAGGTTGTACTCGACTGAATGCAGTGCGGGCAAAACATTTCCTGCAGAGCAAGTCGTACCTCACGGTAGCGATAAGAGTATATCAAGGGATCAACAATTGGCTTAATGACAACCGAGGCAGTTGTAATGAAACCAAGGTAGGCACGAGTTGAATAGCTTTGACTGTAAAGTGGATAAGGGCAACCATCGATACATGAAAGGGCAAACCAAATGATTGCTGGCATCCAGCCAACAAGATAAGTGATAATGATGATAAGTGAGGTTGTTATTGCTTTACGGTATGATTTATCAATCCGCCGAGTCAAATTATTTTCAACATTAACATTATTACTGCAACCATAACTAGGCTTGATACTGTTTAATGTAATGGGATAACTGGTATTCCCATTATTTACTTGTTTATTATTAGTTGAATTATCAATAGCATTATCATTACTGTTACCACTATTGGAATGATTATTAAGACTATTATTATTGGCATTGTTATTGTTATTGCAGGTTCGAGAACAGGTTATCTTCTGAGCCATTTCAAGGGTCCAAAAGATGTGAAGATAGGCAACTATCATGAGTAACCAGGGAGTTCCAAAAAGAATCAGGATTGTTGAACGAAAATGCCAGGCCAAAAGAAAGGTAAACTCACAATTTGGTGATCTGTAACCTGAACCATAAAAGAAGAGAAAATAATAGGAAAAAGATTAAAAAGATAATATTAAAGAGTAAACGAGAAGAATAATGGTGAACATGATGAGGAAACATCATTATAAGAGTTTGCAAAAAGTTCTGATCACAGTTATTCTTATTCTTTTTCCCTTTTTTTCATTTCAATCCAATTCTGAAGCTTCATTTTTTTCTCTGTATTCTGCAAAATCTTTTTACATCAAAATGTTGCTCTTTTTTTCTCAAAACTCCAAGCTGAAATTGATTCAGCTTAATGATGAAATGATGATGGTAAACATGATAGTACACAAAACTATTAATTTCATGGCAATAAATCAATTTCAACAGGTTCAAGTTGAGACTTTTGGTAAGCATTTTCGCTTAGATTTCGTTGTTAAGTCATCAATGATGGGTTAATTTGCCTTTAAATTTCGTTTCATGTTCTTTGTTGTGCTTTTTTTGGCTTTGAACTTTAATTTCAATCAATTGCAATCAAAGCGATTTACTGACTTGTTAAAGCAAATATTTTGACATTGGTTCATGTTGCATGTTAGATAACCTTTCATTTTTCACTCATTTTTTTTCTTGTTCTCGTAATGAGAAATGAATATTCTTTGGCTCAATAGCTTTGACTTGGTAACGTTGCAACGTTCAAAATGAAAACTGGTTCAAAATTTGTTTTTAAATCATTTAATTCTGTTCTGCATTTTTCTCCAAATGCTTCCTTCCCAATTTCATTCACAATATTAACTGTTGATTCTTATTCATTGTGACAGGCTTCCATCTCTTTTGGGAAAACAATAAATGCTATCAACTGTGCACATCTCATACATACAACAGATGAATTACTTTGAGTTTGGTGAGACAGAAAATAACATTTTTACCTTGACAAGATGTTGATGAAAATATGAAGATAAAAATGATGAAAGGAGTCAACCAACAAGTTAATGTGACATATTTAATGTTTTCTGATCGTTGATATAAGCTGGTTAACCTGGTGAAACACGATTATAATGAGGCAAAATAGAGAGAAGGAAAAAATTTTGATTAGTTTAATGATATAAAAGTCATTTGGAAACTTGATTAGGAAACTAAATCAATAGAGGATTAAACATTTTCCCTCCAAGTCATTGAGCATTTTGAGATTCGCAATGGATCATCATGCTTGTTAAAACACATTTATATGTGGAATCATGATTATCGACTAGTCATGTAACCTCTGGGCCGATAATTTTAGAGATATCAATCTGGACTGAATTTTTCAGGGAATTCAAATCTTGCATATTATAAATTTGGAATGAATTCTGAAATTCTGGTTCATTTTCATTCAATCATGGCTACTTGTTTTCAATCACTAATTTTGAATCTTTTTGGAAGACAAAGATCTCAAAGAAGCAAAGATCATAATTGTGAGAATTATGTTACTCTACTTTGAACGCGGACGATAATGATGATGAGACTCATTCCAATCTGAACAAGAATGGACATGATTCTCATAGTTTCAATACACTTAATTTTCAGAGAGTTATCGATCTGTTAAAGTGCTATGAAATCTGGATTTAAAGAGAAATTCAAGAATAATTCGTTGGTCGGTCCAAAATTTTTTTGCATATTATCATTTATCAAATGAATTAATGATTTTTGTCATATACTAGGTGTCAAAGTAAAATCTACCCTTCTACCCTAAAAAGTCATAAATGATCTACTGTTGTGACGAAAAAGCACAAAATATATGAGAGCATGAGTAGTATGAAATCAGCTGGCGGAGCACATTTCTTGTACAGCACTAAGTTTTTAGCTCAGTATTTCATTTCCCTATAACCCTCCGTTGCTACTCATAAAAAAAGTCACAATTACTCTACTCTTTTGACAAAAATGTCTAGGGCAATAAAAGCATTAAAACAAAGAGCAGGTAAAAAAGTTGGCAAAGTTGTAAAATGAAATGGGTGACCTTTAACCTTGCTAGCCAAATTTCACATTTTATGATTTTAAAGTTGGTTTGGTCCTAATCTGCAAAACAAACAACGCTTAAGGTCCAAGTTGAAAGCCTTTTCTTGAACTAATTACACCAACTTTGGTGACAAAAAAGGGTAAGACAATTGTTTTAACTCATAGAATCAATTGAATTATTACAATTGATATTACAATACAAATTATTATTCATGTTGATTAATATTTTCGGTTATGAAAACGGATGCCAACACTAGCTTCAACATGATCGGGATCAGTATATTGATCTATTGAAATTGTTTGATAGCGATGATAAGTGAAAATGATGATATAATTAAACATTGAATTGAATTCTTTAAATTAAGAGAAGCATATTGTCTCAAAGTTGGTGTAATTAGTTCAAGAAAAGGCTTTCAACTTGGACCTTAAGCGTTGTTTGTTTTGCAGATTAGGACTATACCATTTTAAAGTTTTTGGTCTTGAGATTATTGTTTTTTGGATTACCATACATCTAATTGCTTTACGGAATACCATTTTTTCAACCTTTTGGATACATTTTGCAAATTTTTATTACTAAGTTAAGCAAATTATTTTAACTTCACGTATGATCTAATTGAAGCTGATCTCAATTACAAATTTCTAGGTTTTAATGTATACGAAATTCATTCATTTCAGATGGAGATTATTTCATTACTTTGCCATTTCGAAGAAAATTTACACGATTTTATCAGAATAGGGAACATGCGTAGTAAGCCTTTAGTTCGAATAAATCGCAAGCACAAGCCAAAAGATTTGCTATTCAAATTTCCTTATTTTTCGGAATGAAAGTGGAGAAAGATTTTATTTTACGAACTTTGAAAGATGATCCATATAATTTCTTCAGTAAAATTGGATGTTCTCAAAGGAAAAAAATAGACATGTTATAAAGAATTACAGAAGAAATTTTAAAATGAAATTAGAAAGAAAATGGCCTGACATGGAACGTTTTATTGCTTAACTCGAAAAAAGACGACTTTCCTTTGTACTCGATCCTCTTTCAATCAGAACACAAGCAGCTGACAAGCTTTTTCATATAAATAGTAAAAAGAACTCAACTGCGTGCTTAAACTGAATTTGACTTTCGACTTTCGAATTTTTTTTGGTTTACTGAGTGATAGTTGTTAGATGTTAGATCCTGTTCATGAAATACAAATATAGTTTAAAAATTTAAATTTCAGTTTTTTTCTTATCATAAAGATCATTTTGAAACATCATATTGGATTTATGTTCATAAAAGTTAAATCTTGATTACTTAATCGAATTACAGTTTACTACAGTGACATGCGTGATAAATTAGATGTGTACTTAGATGAGGCTATGAAATTCAGCAAGTGAGGGTGGACATCTGCAGCACGGTCAGTACACAGAGCAAAACCGCAAATGCCACCATAAAATTTAATTGGCATATCCGAGCACATAATTCCGTATTCAATTATTGGATTGCATATTTGGATTAGTAGATTTAAGCAAAATTTTTAAAGGCAATTGAAAAACTTACAGAGAGTATTAGCTATAGTATCAAGAGTCAATCAATATCGAATTCAAGTGATTATAGATGAATGAACATCGGATACTTACTGGAAGTGTCTCGTAATACTTCGTCAAGATTTTCATCGATCCGCACAAAATCTGCACCAGAATAGAAGTTTTCTTGGTCTAGATTAAAAAAGAATTTGTATTTTAATTTACACTTTTAGAGCATAAAATTTATTTAAATTAGATTTGAAAATATTTCTTCTTAATAATAATGGTTTAGGCATTGAGGAAGCTAAATTTGACTAGAATATTCTTTTATATTTGATTCACTTCAATCAAACGAGTTGCAATAATCAAATAATGAATTTGCAGCAAACTCATCTGAGTTTTTCTATAGATGAGAAAGGAAAATGCGAGCCAAGGAATCTCCGCTACGAAAGGGAAGGAAAAGGTCAGAGAACCAAACCTATAATGAAATAAATGAATTCTTACTAAACTCACCTGAGTTGTTTCCATACGTGGTTTGGAGGTGTGAAACAATAACTATTAAAGCACTTAAGATAGCAGATTAGAAATAGATTAATGTACTGTTTATTGCTAGAATATAATTAGATAAAGTAAATCATTCACCCTTTTTCTTAGATGTTATTGAAGATAACATGATTCAGTCGAAGATAATAGATGTAATTAGAGATAAACTTCAATATATAAAGAGAACCTAAAATTGTAACCACACACAGTCAATTATTCCTTGAGTCAGCGAAGACTCGAAAACTTCAATAAAGTCTTTTTATATTAACCCTCTTTGGTTTTCTTCAATTCTTCTTCAACTGGTGGTCATTATGAGGGCTTAGTCCCCATTGTTCCTGCCGTAACCTGATCACTGTTTATACCTTATCTTGTCTGATCATCGTTATTCGAACCTGATATTCACTGTTCCTACTCTTTTGGCTCCACTGGTCTGACGATTCATCCAGCTCCAGTAACCTATTCTTTTGGCTATTCAACTGGTCTGACGTGCATCCAGCTCCAGTCTTTAAACCGTAATCAACACTGGTCCTGACGTTCATCCAGCTCCAGCCTTTGGTCCGTAATCAACACTGGTCCTGACGTTCATCCAGCTCCAGTCTTTGGTCCTTAATTTGTTCTGGCCTGACGAATCATCCAGCTCCAGACTTCACCGTATTTATTCACACTCCTGCCACTGGTCCTGTCGCTTGGTTCTCTTGGCTTCACTTCATTGTTGACTGATTGACTTCGCGAGATGAACCACCAAGGCCCGGTAGGCCAATTTTAAGTCAACCCGGTTCTCCTTTTCCTTATTCTTTGTTTTTGTCTTATCCCCTTGTGTCAAACTCAACGACGGCGATACGGTTGTTACGTCTATTCCTTTAGGGATTTTTAGGGATTTTTAGTAACTAGCTCTTGTGATTAATTGACTTACGAGTCACTGTTCAAAATGACTAACACAAGTCAGGATGCCAGTGTGCAATTGGCTTCTGTTAGTCCATTAAATCTCGCTGACAACCCAGTTGAAATTAAACCTTTCACTGGAAGAGACGGCGAAGAAATAATAGATTGGATAGCCGAATTTGAACCATCCGCTGATGCTTTAGGTTGGGATGATCGCACTAAATTCTTAACCCTACCAGCCTATCTCAGAGAAAGTGCTAGGGACTGGTATACCTATTTAATCACTTATAAAGGGAAACCTCAAGATTGTAAAGCACTCAAAACAGAACTGATCAAAGATCTATTTTCAAAAGATTACTATTTAAAAATTATTTTTAAAGATCTAAAGTTTTCGCAGTTACAGCCCAGGAAATTGGAAGAACAAATAAGTTGTTCATAAAATTGTCACTGGAGATCATCCACCCATTGCTCAACAACCCTATCGACAAAGCACTCATAAGTATCAACGGTTAATTGATATCGTATAATTGGCTGCTGCCCGAAAACGAGTTATGGCCGGAAAAGACGTTTGTGTTTTATAATAACAATCTGAGCTGCTTCATAGAGAGACGTTTTATTTGGATCCATGGATGGAGCTAAACCTGAATAACCAGAGTATTGTTGATTGTAGGAATTATAATTATTGTAATTGGATGTTGGCTGATTATTGTTATAAGACCATTCATCGACTATAATTAAATTAAGGAAAGAAAATGTAAGTCACATTGGAATTATCAACTATTGTTGAAGACGAGTTGCGTTTGGTGAAAAAGCAACTCAATAGTACTCTTAAATGCTTGTAACGTAATTTTATTTACCTTGCATTGACTGGTAATATGCAACTGAATTTTGAGGTTATGTTAGGTGAGAGGTTATCTTGAGTCGCTCATGAGTAGATAGATATTCAAACTCAGATGAGTTGGAGGTTCTGCTTATCATATCGACAAGCAGAAAGACATTGCTTTAAAGGAAATTTTGAACAGCCTATTGTGTTCAAATGTGCTTATTGCGAAACTACATACAAAAAACTATACAATCTTAAAAAACATTTGGTTGGTAGTACCAGAGATTCTCTAA